GCAAACAAATGCAGAGACAAACTGATCTGCACACTCACACATAGACACAAACAGCCTTTTCTGTCATGTTTATCAGAGGAAGTTGAGCACAGAATGGGCAATCAACGGGTTTGAGACAGGATCAATGACATTTACCAGGTGCCAATTTGATGTATCTAGATTTCCAAACACACTTAAAACATCCTTGACACGGGGGGATATTCCTGGAAATCTGATATTATCCTACAGCTAAGAAAACCAGCCTGGAACCTTAAAACAGCTGTGCCATCCCTCTCTGCAGCAGGTACACACGGCAGTTGACTTGACTGAGATTTTTCCAAGACAAAGAGTAGTAAAAAGTTACTTTGCTTAGCTTCTTGCTCTCATGAAAGAGGATTTCAGAAGAAGCTGTAGGTCGGTGCTGCATTTGTGTTGACCATAGATCTCAGACCCAGATCATCTAGTATAGGAGTTGGGAGGTCATGTTACGGCTGTACAGGACATTCGTTAAGCCATTTTTAGAGTATTGCATGTAACTCTGATCTGCCTCCTATAGGAAGGATGTTGTGAAACTAGAAGGGGTTCAGAAAAGATTTATGAGGAATGTTTCCAGGGTTGGAGAGTCTGAGCCATAGGGAGAGGCTGAATAGGCTGGCACTATTTTCCCTGGAGCATTGAAGGCTGAGGGGCATGGATAGGGCAAATAGGCAAGGTCTTTTCCCTGGGGTGGGGAGTCCAAAACTAGAGCACATAGGTTTAAGGCGAGAGGGGAAAGATATAAAAGGAACCTAAAGGGCAACTTTTTCATGCAGAGGGTGGTGCATGTATGGAATGAGCTGCCAGAGGAAATGGTGGAGATTGGTACGGTTACACCATTTAAAAGGCGTCTGGATGGGTATATTAATAGGAAGGGTTTAGAGGGATACGAGTCAAATGCTGGCAAATGGAACTAGATTTTTATAGGATATGTGGTTGGCATGGATGGGTTGCACCGAAGGGTCTGTTTCGGTGCTGTATATCTCTATAACTTTATCTAGGGATCTGTCAAACTTTAAATTAAATGTGTCTTTTTGTTCTGTAAATGTAAATTCAGTGGTTGCCCGGAGGCAGACAGAGAGAGAGAGAAAGAGAATCAGAAAGACACTCTGGAATGCCACACATGACGAGGCGTCAAAGAAGCTTCAAAGGGAGAAAACATAACAAATTGAATTTGTAATCTCCTGGGAGAAACTCTGACTGGAAAAGATGTTAACTAAAACAGCAGTCTGGACAAAAGGTATATAATTACATTTTTCCCTTTCAAGCACACACAGGCACAGGGGTGAAAGTGAATTTCAGCCGTCATCTGTGTGTGTTAGTGACCTGACATGCTAGTTTGGGGAAGAATTTATACTGCGAGGGTCACAGCTCTGAGAACAGCTATTTAAGCAACTCTGCGCTGCAAATAAAGGAAAGAAAAAATACACTCTGCCAGTCAGCCATCACTGAAGAGAATCAGGACAAAAGTGCTTTCTTTAAACTGCAACACCAGGAATCTTTAAGCTGACTATTCTTACAATTCTTGCTGATGCTACTACCGTACAAGTCAGATCCCAAACTGAAACCAGATTTAAAGATCACATTTTATTTTTGTTCTGTTTTGGTTTTAATGAATGGGTCTCTTGCCGAAAAATAAGCATGCAATGTTACATATTTGCATTTAACAATAAAACAGAATTTTATTAACTAAAGATTATGAAGATAAAATAGAATGAACCTAACTGCCTACTTCAAACAAAAATTTAAAGATTTCTAAACAGACAGTAAAAGTATAATCCCATTAAACCAAAGCACTACTTTAGAAGATGAAAAGAAAAACAACTTTTATCTAGTACTCAAAACGCAGCACAAACACACCTTGTACTCAAAAATACCATTGATGCAGTACTTGCACCAGACTCCCTGCAGAAAACACCTCAATAGGTTGAAGTTGCTTGTGAATTTAATGTATGGACTGTAACTGTAGATAGCTTCATTGTTTCTTTCTGGAGCTATTATACATCTGAACTTAAGCATATTGAGATTTACGTAACCTCTTTAGGGTTTTATCCCAATACTTCTTATCTGGGATGAATACTAACACTTTACTCTGAAGTAACCTATTTCACTGCATCTTTCCCTTCTCTGCATTGGTCTATGAAACATTTTTAAGTAGTCCTGTGAAATCCTCAAATGAAACTTAAACTAAAACTGGGAAAAAAGCTCTCTCTAAAAGATATGAGACAACAAGGTGCAGGGCTGGATGAACACAGCAGGCCAAGCAGCATCATAGGAGCAGAGAGGCTGACGTTTCGGGCCTAGACCCTTCATCAGAAAAGCACCTTTCTTGGGATCATTGTGTGCCAACACCTTAGAGGATGATAGCTGGTTCTTTACTTCATTGAAAGCTTGTCTATACAGCCATTTCCAGGGCTGACCTATTTTAGGAGTTGATGCAAAGGTGCCAGGATGGATGCCAGGTTATGTACATACTTTCCATAATAATTTACCAGCCTAATAAATGACCTAAGCTCTTGGCCAGACATGAGAGCCAGAGCACCTTTGATTGCCCTTACTTTACCTTCCAACGGGTGTAACCCGGTCTTATCGACTCTGTAGCCCAAGTAGGTCACTTGGGAGGCCTGGAACACAAATGTTTCCCTTCTTAGGCATACATCTGTGTTGGAAAAACACCTTAGGGCTATTTCCACGTTATCTAAATGTTCCTTATTAGTTTTCCGTTATTAGAAGGTCATCTAGTAAATGGCGAGATGAGGTACAACTGTTCTCCATCATTCGCTGAAAAATTGAACAGGCTGCGAATACGCAAATGGCAGTCTTGTATATTGGTACAAGGCCTTATAGGTATTAATTGTAGCATCCTCAGGGAATCTGAGTTTAAACATAAATGCAAGTAAGCATGTCTCATGTCCAGTTTTGTGAAGGTCAGCCTCCCTTCCAGCTTTCTGTATGAATCCACTATTCAAGGGATTGAGTATTTATTCAGCTGCAAAAAGCAGTTTATCGATTGTTTAAAATCCCCGCAAAGGTGAACCAAAATCGGTACGACAAGTACTGCCCATTCCGCCAATGGACTGGTTTGATGATTCCTTCACTTTCCAGCCAGCTGATTTCTGCCTCTACTTTTGCCTGTATGGCAAATGGCACTGGGCAAGCCTTGCAGAATTGTGGAATTGCTTTCTGGTCAACATGCAAGGTGGCCTTGGTTCCTTTGATAGTCCCTGATCGTCTCTGATAGTGAGGCTATGCAATTACGTGCACTCGTGTTCCCCAAGCTTAGTTGGATGTCTATTTCCATCAGAAAACGTCGCAGTTCATATACTCCACTTGCCGCATTTTCCAATTGCCAGTTACAACACCTGTTTGAAATCCAGTTGGGCTTCAGCTATATGGTGTTTTGCACATCACTAATCCCATAAATCAGATGGTCTCTAAGCATCTCATTAAGGATTACACCAAAGACACAGACTTCTGCCAGCCACTTTAACCTCGCCAAAAATCCTGATACAAGTTCCCGTGGTTCTTGAATTGCCGAGTAAAAGTGATAGCATCTCAAAATTAGTGGAGGCTTGGGGTTGTAATATTTCTTAACTATGTCAATCAATTCTTGAAAGGTTTTAGTATCTGGTGCCTCAGGGAAAAGTTAGGCTCCTAATAATAGAAAAAGCTTCAGCTCTACAGGAGAATTACTCATTGCTTTTGATCTGCCACAATGTCATTTGCTCAGAAAAAATAATGCATTCTTTCAACATACTGGACCCAGTCCTCGACAGCAGGGTTGAATGGGTCAAGCTTCCCAAACAAAGGCATAATGTAAGAAAGAGATAACAAGGTGTAGAGCTGGATGAACACAGCAGGCCAAGCAGCATCAGAGGAGCAGGAAAGCTTACGTTTCAGGTCTAGACCCGAAACGTCAGCTTTCCTGCTCGGCCTGCTGTGTTCATCCAGCTCTACACCTTGTTATCTCAGATTCTCCAGCATCTCCAGTTCCTACTATCTCATAATGTAAGAAAATCTTACACCAACTCAAAGACGACTGTTGCAGGCGAGTTTCTTCAGGACTGTGCTTTACTCCTGTTGCCACTGAAATAACTCCACAGAGGCTGGTATCCCATCACCAATCACCCTTTATTTACACATGAACAGTCTTTAACTTTAGTACTGCCTCATTCAGAGTCAGGTACCAGATGTTAGCTCCAATCAGGGAACTCATATTCCACGAGGCCTAGCTAGCTGATTTCATTACTATCACTACAATTGTCTAGATAAGTACAGGTCCAAGAACAGTCATGAAGCTTGACACCATCCAGGACAAAACAGCCCGCCTGATCGCCATTACATCCAGAAATATTCATTCCCTCCACCACCAAAGTTCAGTAAAAATAGTGTGTACCATCCACAAGACCCATTGTAGAAATTCACCAAGAGTTCTCCAACAGCATCTTCCAAATCCACGAGCCCGACCATCTAGAAGGACAAGGACAACAGATACATGGGAACACCACCACCTGGAAGTTCCTCTCCAAGCCACTCACCATCCCGTCGCCAGTGTCCAAGGTTTGCAGCAGCTCAAGAAGACAGCTCACCACCATCTTCTCAAGATCAACTAAGGATGAGCAATAAATTCTGTTCTAGATAGCAATGCCCATGTCCCTTGAACAGACAATGACAGATCAGCTATATCACTTTACATCAGACCAGTATCTGTCGTCAAGGACCATACAGAGGCTAAGCAAAACAGACAGGAGGCAATTGTGACATTTAGTCAGAATTGACTACAACATCAAGCTATCAGTTCTCATCATCCTGATGAGATGCTAAAACTGAAGGCTGTCAGGGACACATGAAAATGTAGAACAACCATCAAAGTGTAGGCTGATTGGTCTGAGAGTAGATCAAAGTTATTAGACAGACAATTATTTGTTGAAGCAGTGAGAAAAGTGAACATTGATGAGATGCTGGCTCATCCATTTGAACATTACTCTTGCGTTCTGCTAATTGTGACAGATTCTATGTCAAGAAAAATAAAAATTGTAAGAACTAGGAGCAGAAGTATGTGTGTGGATATGTTTAATATTCTTACACTGATGCTAGGTGATTTCTAGATATAGACCTACAGCAGTTCAAACCTAAATAAGACAGTAGCCTCTGGCCTAGGATCTATGAAGATACTTGTTTGGGCTTACCGACCTGTAGAATCACTCCCTTCTCCAAAAGGCTCTGCTTCTTCGCAGTCATCACAAAATAATGTGTGTCATCCTTGTAGTAAACAATATTTTCTAAATCGACACCTGTGAGAAAGGAACAGCAACAGGTTAAACATGGTACAAGCAGAACTACTCAAACTGTCCAAATTCAGCCATAAACTCTGCTTCTCAGTCACACAGAACCTCAATCAAGCCTGTGTCTCACAGTCTGACCCATAGACAGCCTGGGAGTTAGCAGCCATTGTGAACAATACTCAGACAGCCTGGGAGTCAGTAGTCATTGTGATGAACCAATGGACTCCAAGAACAAAAACATGTAATGAACACACATAAAACATAAATTTAAAGTCAAATGGAATGCTGGTCTTTATTGAAGAGGGTTGCAGTATTATGCTATGGTAGTCAGGGTATAATTATACAGATGAGAACCCTCAGCACGGTTCCGTTGACAGGAAGAGGAGGCAGTGCTGATCCAGCAGAATTATGCTGAGACTTGGATAAATGTAAGGTGTTGCATTTTGGTCAGGCAAATCAGGGCAGGACTTATACACCCAATGATAAGGTCCTGGCAAGTGTTGTTGAACAAAAAGGTCTTGGGTACAGGTTCACAGTTCCTTGAAAGTGGAGTCTTAGGTAGACAAGGTAGTAAAGAAGGCATTTGGTATGCCTTTATTGGTCAGTGCATTGAGTATAGCAGTTGGGATGTCATGTTGCAGCTGTAGAGGACATTGGTTAGGCTACTTATGGAATACTGCATTCAGTTCTGGTCTCCCTGCTACAGGAAAGATGTTGGTAAACTTGAAAGGGTTCAGAAAAGATTTACAAAAATGTTGCTGGGGTTAGAGAGTTTGAGCTTAGGGAGAGGCCAAATAGACTGGGGCTACTTTCCCTTGAGTATTGGAAGCTGAGGGGTGACCTTAAAGAAGTTTATAAAATCATGAGGGGCATGGATAGGGTGAATAGACAAGCTTTTCTTCCCAGGGTAGTTTCATCATCTTTATAGTAGAGGGCATAGGTTTAAGGTGAGAGGGGAAAGATTTAAAAGTGACCTAAGGGGCAACCTTTTAATGCAGAGGGTGGTGCATGTATGCAATAAGCTGCCAGAGGAAGTGGTGGAGGCTGGTACAATTACTACATTTAAAAAGCATCTGGATGGATATATGAATAGGAAGGGATATTGGTCAAATACTGGCAAATGGGGCTAAATTAATTCAGGATATCTGGTCAGCATGGATGGCTTGAACTGGAGGGCTTGCTTCTGTGCTGTACAACTCTATGATTTAAAGGATAAAATGATGCAGACAGTTTACCCAAACAGGCTGCAGTCTCTTCAGCATAGAAGTTTAAGGGGTGATGAAATTGAGATTCTGAGAATGATTGCTCATATGTTTATAAAGAGAATCTATTTACTTAGGTGGGCAACAGGGCAAAATAACATAATTATAAAGCCAGGACTGTGCAGTGGTGTTGTCAGAAAGGGAAATGGAGAGCTGGAACTCTGTCTCTCTCTCCTTGACAAAGTTGCAAATGCCAGCTTTGAATCAATCCAATACGAACCCGTGGCTTCCCGCAGGTCCTGAAAAAACTTCTGGTTGAAGATGAAGGCAACGCCACTGATCTCCTGCGCCTGGGCCTCCTCCCGTGTGTGCCGGTTAATGAAGTTGGCAGTGATAGCAATCGCCAATTTCCCCCGGAATTCTTTCCTCCGAAACCCTTAAACAGGAAGATAGAGTTACTCAGAGGCTGAGGAATCAATTGTAAATGAACTCTCATTCAGTGAGAGGTGTTCAGCAGGGGACTGGCCATCAACTCTCAGTATCTGAAAACAGAAATACAGTGCACAAAGGATTGGAAAAGACAAATAGACTGGAGCAAGGAATAGTAAGATATAAGTTTGGACCAGGCTAATCAGGTCTAGGATAAGCTGATAATGAATAAATGTATGAAGCACAGTATTAGATTGTTGAGTTGCAATTACAGATAATGCTTTAACCTCGATAGTCATTGGCGGCTGATCATGTCAAGGGAAAGTGAGAAAACGAAATAGAAATGACAAGGCAATAGGGCAGGATAGCAATAACTAGAGTGGGACAGGACAGGATAGAATGAAAGAGTGCAAGAACAAATCAGGTCAGAGTTGGAAAAAGTGGTAAGAAAGGCAGAATGAATGGCTTTTATCTGAATGCATGTAGCAATCACAACAAGATTGATGAGTTGATGGAAAGAAATAGGTATGATTCAATAGCCATTACAGAAACATGCTTTCATGGTGATCAAGGCTGGAAAAATTCAGAGATATTTGACATTTTGTAAGGAAAGGAAGAAAATGGGGCTACTTTGCTAATAAAGGATGAGACCAGTAAAGTTGTGGGAAATGCAGTGCCTCAGGAGGTAGAGGAGAGATGGACAGGGAATGGTGTGTCCAAGCAGTGGGGGCAGGAGTGACAGGTAGAAAGTGCCTGCTCCTTCACAAAGTTCATTATTTCCCCACTACTCCTGATCCTTCCATTGCATTCCACTAACCTTCCAGAGTGTTCCTTCGACCATCAGCACCAATCACAGCATCGAACTCAAACTGTGTCACTTTGCTGGTTGGAGGATTTATCTCTGCTCTCCAGCCGGCATCTGCAATCAGAAATAAGCCCAGCTAATAGTGACAGGCATGGTGGGCACGATATCCTGCAGGACAGGCACCTGTAGGACCAGTGACAGGACTGGTGTGAGAGGCCCTATTCAAGTTCAGGATTCCTGGCTAAAGCTACGACATTTATGAGTATGACAGAACATCAGAATCTGCTGCCCAGGCACTCTCTGAATCTCTAAAAGCTGTGATTTTATAGGGAAAAGTTGCACTAGTCGTCTGATTGGTATCTTAAGTGTGGATCTCGGTAAAAGTGAAGCTACCTCCCAACCATAATTAGAGGTCATTTCAGTATTTTGATATAAACTGGCACACACACACGCCTCTCACACAGACACACACACACCTCTCTATCTCACACACAGACACACACACACCTCTCTCTCACACATACACACACACACACCTCTCTCACTCACACACACACACACCTCTCTCTCACACACACACCTCTCTCACACACACACACCTCTCTCTCTCACAAAACACCTCTCTCTCTCACACACACACCTCTCTCTCTCACAAAACGCCTCTCTCTCTCACACACACACACCTCTCTCTCTCACACACACACACCTCTCTCTCACACACACACACACACACACACCTCTCTCTCACACACACACACACACGCACCTCTGTCTCTCTCACACACACACACACACACACACACACCTCTCTCTCTCACACACACACACACCTCTCTCTCTCACACACACACACACACACCTCTCTCTCTCTCACACACACACACACACCTCTCTCTCTCTCACACACACACCTCTCTCACTCACACACCTCTCTCTCTCACACACACACACGCAGGACCACACACACACACACACGGCACCACACACACACACACACACACACACACACACACACGGCACCACACACACACACGGCACCACACACACGCGCACACACACGGCACCACACACACAGGCAGCACCACCCACACACACACAGACAAGCAGCACCTCACACACACATACAATCACAGATAGTACATCATACACACAGAGACACAGGCAGAAAGTACTTCACAAACATGCATTCACCAACAGTACTTCATACACACATACACGCAATGACAGCTCCTAACACACGGTAGCTCCTTATACACCTGACCAACAGAACCTCATATGTGTACACATGAGCACCTTAAGAGTCTCTGACACATGCAGATAAACAGACATACTGATAGCATCGCACACATATACAGAGACAACACCACACACACACACGCACAAACACACCCACACAACCTCATCTCCAACAGCATCTTATACATAGTTGGATGCCACCATATATACTGATACATGTCCCCAAAACCTCTACCCTGCCATTCCCATGTTCCACCTTACCACTTCCAGGACCAGTAGGTTGTACCCAGTGTCTCTATTAAATTCACTTACTTGGATTATTCTGGCCTCTGGGTGGGAGCAGTCCGCGGAATTCCACATTCAGATGAATCTCAACGCCCAGGATCAAGGCAATCTTCAGCAGGACAAGCTGCAGCTGTCGAATACCTGTCAGTGCAGAAACAGTTGTGAACAGACAGTGCTCAATGTGTTCAAACAGACTTCCCTGACACTACTCACACTCAGATCCTGCAAATGAGCCCATTGCTCATTACATTCTGTGCTTGTGGGCCTTACATCATCCAATTCACTGCTGCTCCTCAACTTCATTTGAATCAGACATTCAACAACTGGAGGCATCACAGTGAGCTACAAGGCTGTTCTCTCAAGTTAGAAACCTCAGTCACAAGGTAATGTGTTGAACGTCCTCATAGAGAGGTCAACCTCTGGGACATATGCGTAGAAACTGAACTAAATAGGTTATCTGGAAAATACGTTTGAATGCAATGACGTGGAGTGACAGGAGCAAAACAAGAAAAATAATTCACAGAAAGAGGGAGGCCTGGAGGTATTGATTATTGAAGGTGGCAAGAAAGGTGGAGCGAGCAGTAAATAAAGCATACAGCATTTTTGGCTTTATTAATAGAGGCATAAGGAGTAGAAGAGCAAGGAGTTGATGTTGAATTTGTTTAAGACATTTGTTAGACCTCAGCTGGAGTACTGAATACAGATGTGGGCACCACGTCATTGGCAAGATGTGAATCCATTAGAGAGAGTGCATAAGTGATTTACAAGAATGGTTCCAGATGAATTAGTTCAGTTATGAGGAGACACTGAAGAAGTTGGGACTGTTCTCTTTGAAAAAAAGAACATTAGCAGGAGATTTGACAGAGGTTTTCAAATTCATGAGCAAGCTGGAGAAAGGGTGAAATTGTTCCCACTTGGAAAAGAAACAAGAACAAGAGGGCACAGATTTAAAGTGATGTGCGAAGAAGTACGGGTGATGTGAGAAAAATCTTTTTCACACAAGGGTAGCTAGGATGTGGAATCCACTGGCTTAAAGGTTACAATGTTTCCTGCCTCAACAACTGTCCCAGGCAGTGTATTCCAGACACCCTCTGAAGAAGGGTCTAGGCCCGAAACGTCAGCCTTCCTGCTCCTCTGATGCTGCTTGGCCTGCTGTGTTCATCCAGCTCTACACCTTGTTATCTCACTCTCTGAGGGTAAACTTTTTTCCCCAAATTCCCTCTAAACCTCCTGCTTTTCACTTTAAAATTATGCTTCCTTGTTATTAACCCTTTCATTGAGGCATTCAAAGGGCACTGGAATATTATTTGGAGAAATTGTGGAGAAGGCCATGCGGAGAAAGGGGATTACTATTAGGGAATAGAACCGGTGCAAGTATGATGGGTTGAATGGCCTCCTTCCACACACACACACTCACTCACTCTCTCTCTCACACACACACAAAAACACAAACAGATTGTAAACAAGACCTCACACTTAACATGCATTGTCTGACCTAAAATGTCACCTCTTTTTTACACTGATGTAACCTTTAGTTCTCTCAGGACTGTGACTTGAAAGAAATTCAGGGATTTACACATACATATTAACACATACATACATACATATTCTAACTGATTAAAGATTTAACAGCATCTTACATTTGTTTAATACATCCTCATTAATGGTGTGACCCTTTGATCTATTACTTATAAATTCTGTGTCTGTTTCCACCTCTCTCACTAACACCTGAAGAAGAAGCGAAGCTCTAAAAGCTTGTGTTTTCAAATAAACCTGTTGGACTATAACCTGGTGTCATGTGATTTCTGACCTTGTACGCCAGTCGAACACTGGCACCTCCACGTCATGGCTCCATCTGACAAAGCCATGTTGATGATCCCTAATTAACACATGCCTTTCCAAGTGGATATTAATTTACTCCTTCAAAATTTTCTCTAATAGTTTCCCTACCACTGACAACAGACTCAATGGTCTGTAATTTGCTGGTTCTTCTCTACCATCCCTCTTAAAGAGTGGAACCACGTTAGCTGTCCTCCAGTCCTCTGGCACTTCACTGTGGTCAGAGTGGAATTAAAGAGATGGGCAAGACAGGGATAAAAGGGAGAGATGGGGAAGACATGGACATGGGAAGAGATGGGGAGTGACAGGGATATGGGAAAGATATGGGAAAGACATAGGGAAGACAGCGATGTAGGGGGAGGGAAGGGAAACATGGGGCTACAGGGGGACAGATGGGGAAGATGGGCATACAAGGGAATGAGATAGGGATGGAGAGGGAGAAACTGGGAAAATAGGGCTGGGGAGAGTTGAGGAGAAGTGGAAAGTTGAGGAGACGAGGAGGGTTGTTGAGAGTCTGTGAGAAACAAGATTTGTTAGCAACGGATGGAGAGTTATGTAGGGAATCCAGAAGAGACAGGCAGATTCTGGGAACAATGGTGACTGTCTGGAAGTCAACGGGAGATTCTGGGAGAACTGACAAATTCTAGTGGGTCATATTTCTCCAGGTTAAGTGTAATGTCAGTGTAATGGATAGGAAGATAGTAACTCACTGATATGGTCAATGGCTCCGGCACAGAATTTTCCATAGATCTTCTTTGCTCCCAGGTTACGCAGGTCCTGAATAGTGTACGGCCACAAGTGCAAGACATTGTTTCTAGAGAAGGTGTCCCGTTTCTCTACGATGATAGCTTTGGCTCCAAGGAATGCTAGCTCAATGGCCGTCCGCAGGCCACAAGGACCAGCTCCAATCACCAGACACTGCAGGTTGGTGAACAGAAGCTGCAGTTAGTGGGGTGAATACAATACAAGTCAGACAATATCAACTGGTGTTGGGCAGCTGCTGAGGTGCAGCGTTACTGATCAAGAGTGCTCAGTAGGGCAGTAAGGAATGGTTAACAAGCAAAGACTTACATCATCCTTCAGAACGCACATAGTGTAGTTTCACCCATTCATAACAAGCATTCCCCCTCCTCAGTCCTTGCCCCCTCATGGTCCCACATCTTCTCATATCTCATCCCACTCTTCACCTCACTCCCAATATCCTTTCATATCCCACACAGCCGAATGCCACTCTTCATTTCACTTTAATATATAACCCAGTCTAATCCCATTCTCTCCCACATCCTTTAATATCCCACCCTCCCTTCGCACTGTTTATTATCCCCCATACTAATCCCACTCTCTTCCCCGCACTGTTTATTATCCCCCAGTCTAATTCCACTCTCTTTCCACACTATTATCCCCCAATCTAATCCCACTCTCTTGCCCATCCTTTAATATCCCACCCGCCCCACCCCCAACATTGTTTATTATCCCCTAGTCTAATCCCACTCTCCTGACTGACTGGCCTACAGACACTGAGTTCTACAGAAGCAATTGTGAGTTGCCTGTGTATTTGTGTTTTTCTTGAGAACGTAGACAGGGTGGTTCAAATGACAAACTATGAAAAAAGCACAAACTCCTTCAAAGAGCCAATAAGGGCACAAGAGGCTATGTGTCTAGAAGAGGCATGGGAAACTCCAGTTTTACCTTTGTATTGGCACAAGCTGTGTTCTTCTTGTAATCCTTGTGACTTCCTCGTTTGTCCAGTTTTGAAAAAAGTGCTTTTGCTTTCCAGTAATTGAGTTTGGATTTAAGCTTGGGGTAAAAGTTGGGAAAATCAATTTTGGTGATGGTTAGAATCTCACATAGCTCCTGAAAACCTTTGAATGTGCCTTTGCAGGTTGTTGCCTGGATGAAGTTATCGAACAGCAAGTGGGATTGCTCAATTTTGGATTTCTCTCCATCCCCCATGTTGCAAGGCCACAGTCCCGAAACACAGGCCTGGATCAGTTTTTGCCCTTTTTCAGCTGACAGTCTCACTCATTTTGACCCTTCAGGAAAGACAATGAGATAAATAATTAATCTGGATCAGTACCTGCTGAATGTAGCTTTCCTTAAACAATCCATCATTAACAGTACACTCCATCATCAGACTCAACAACTTGCTGTCAGTTATGACATGGGCAGTAAAGTTTTGGATAACCTCAGGTCATGAAGGGGAGAAAGTTGGGACACTGACCAGAAATACATTGAAATGATCAGAACTAAAGGTGATACAGACAGTGAAGGAGTCTCAACATCAGATGAACCAAGACAGCAATGAAATAGGGCAGTATTATGGAAGCAGAAATAGGTGGCATCTGTGATAGCATGAACATAAGCTCAGCAGGTCACTGGTGTATGGAGTTTAAAGTGGTGACTGCAAATGATGGCTTTGGTCTTCCCTAATCTTTAATGAAAGATCTGTCTGCTCATCCATACAGGATGTCAGATCAGCAACCTGATAACTTTCATAACATTGGAGAATCAAGAGAGGTGGTGGTGAATTGGGTGCCATCAAACTGTCCATAAATTTGTGATTCATTGCGTAGAAATGATGGGCATGAATCAGAGTTTTACTTGAATCCATTTAAAGAGACACTTGCTGAATTTGTATAGTTGAGATAGGCTTGGAATATTTCACTTTGTAAATAAGTGCAAGACTAAGGAAAGATGGGTTCCATTTCAGTTCCAGCTTACCTCGCTGTCAGGAAGTTACAAGAATTGAAACATAATCAAACTTAATCTGTACTTTCAGAGCAAGCACTCACCCAAGGGAACAATTAACAGCATTTTACAAGGGCCAGATTACATCACTTTGTCCACACACCCACTGACCAAGTTCAAAGTTGGTAAACTGACTTTAAAAGCAGTTAACAGTTCACTAAAGAATAGGGGAAGGAGGGAATGTGGCCAGACCATATCCAACCCCATGACAAACAGAGCACAGCCAGTACACCGGAGGGTTGGTCACCCACTTTATTTTACACCTCCTCACCTGCTTTCAAATACAAATGCTGGGTTTCTGTAAAATTCACCTCATGAGTACAGGTAAAGCATCCTGAAACACGGACCAGGCATCTTTCACAGGATGTTGTGACGTGGCAAAGGTAAAGACAGCCACTCACCAGACTTCCTTCAATTACTGGAATGCATTTCCAGCAGGAGTAAATAGCCCAGCAACAAATCCTTGGATCATTCTGATGAGTGTAGAGAAAGCTTTACTCTGTATCTAATCACATGCTGTCCCTGGCCTGGGTGTTGATAGCCACAACATAGAGGGAGATTTAAGAGATCAGAGGGTACTTTGCTTTCAGTTTAAAAGCGTACAGGGTGCTTTACTCCTCATCTAACCTTGCGCTGTAGTTGTCCAGGGACTGTTTGATGGGGACAGTAGAGAAGAAGCTTTACTCTGTATCTAACCCCATACTGTACCTGTTCTCAGAGTGTTTGATGAGGATAGTGTCATGGGGAGCTTTACTTGCAGTTTAAAGAGTAGTGGGAGCATGCCTATCAGGTCAAAAAGAAAAGAAGATTTACTCTCTAACTAACCCTGTGCTGTTTTTGTCTTGGTAGCAATTGATGGAGACAGAGAAGATGATTAACTGTAACTTACCAATTGTGGGAGTGGAGTGTTTGATGGGGACAGAGTTGTGGGGGCTTTACTCTGTATTTAACCATGTTGTCCCTGTCTTGGGAAGTGCCTGATGGGGACAGTGTTAACGTAGCTTTATTTTCACATTAGGTGGAGGGTGAGGAACAGGAAGGGTTCAGGGAAAAGGGACTGTGGGGTAGAGTGGTGAGGGAGGGGAGTAGTCTGGAGGAGTCTGTAAGGGGAAGTGTATGGGGGAGGGGTCTAGTGCAGGGATTGGTTTGGGGTAAGGGTGTGAGGGAAAGGAGAGTGGGTGTGCGAAGAAGTGTTGTGGGGGAGGGGGAGAGGAGCAGTGTTGTGAGGGGAGAGGGGGTGAGTACCTTGAGCGCGGGTTGTTCACATCCTGGTCTTGTCGAGGGCCTGAGGATGACGGTTGTTTTTGAAATAAACGATTCTCATAAATCACTGCCCGGAGTGCGCGTTGTGAGAGTTCACTCGATCAGCTACAGGAGCCACGGTAGGTACCTGTCCTCGGGGGAGGGGTATTTACGCCTGGGGTGCAATGTACACTGGGGGGGGGTTGGAGAGGGATATTTACGCTGGTGGGGGGCGGTTGG